GACAAGATGGAGGCCTTATAACTCTGTGAAGGTTAGCTACCTTTTCAGGTTGGACATATTCGACTTGTGAGCCAAGATAAAATAGGCCGGTGTTAATACCAGTGTGGCATTTTTTATTTAATTTCCTTAAGAATGTGGCTTCAGATTGTATGGATGTAAAGTCAAGACTACAGCCCTTACATCTACATTGCATGAAGTGAGTTCCCGCCTTGGTGGTGAAATTAAGTTAGAATAGGTTTTTAACTGGGATAAAATACTTTTCATTTATTATCAGATGAGCTACATGCAACACCGACATAAAACCAAGAGGAACATATATTTTTGATTCCTGTCTCATTTGAATTTAATAGCTATCCAGATACGTAGTGTTATATGCTTTCATGTCAACATCGACATTTTAACCCAGTATGTTGAAATTGAGAGAAAACCATAAAAACATGAGTTTATATTGTAATTAAAATATTAGTGAATTATAGTTGATTTGGTCCACCATTTAGTTTAGAAATTATTGGTTTATTATAGTTAACAGTAATTGGTCAAATACAAGTGTTGAATGAACATCCCTTGCTATAGTGTTTTAGAGGTGATGTTTTCATTAATAGAGGTTAGGGAAACAGACGGAGGGAAGTTGATACAGGTGGTCACCACTCTGTTAGAAATAACTTAATACTGTTAATTCAGTAAATATTATTATTCTTAAACTGTCTTTTCCATATCCATATTCATGCCATTAATGAGATTTGCTAGATAGTTCCAATGGCCAATGAAAACAGGTCTTGAGGCCAGCAAGCTAGATGGGATGTTGTTATGGGGCAGGCACACTGTGTTCTGTGTTATAAGCCAGTAATAAATTACATTGTGGGAAGGGGCTTGAACAATTTTAAAACACACAGGGGCCATACAATCCCTTGTCCTAAAGGCCCTGAAGAATCTCTGAAAGACCTGGCTGCTTTTGGAAACAAAATGCTTTATGCTCCATTTTCCACAAAACATTTAACATCATGTCTGGAAAACGGTTTTAGCTCATCCCAAGTGGAGTAGAAAGATGCCCGTTGTGCCATGAAGCCAGCACCCTTGACTGAATCCTGCAGAGACGTGGGGAAGTGACTTCTAGCTTAAGATTTCATAGACATGTTTAGATTCCAAGCCATAAACACAAGCAGAAGTAAAACATACAAACACTGTACCACTGCCAGTATTTGCTCCAGGGAAGGGCATTACCTTACATTTTCACACTGACATATATGGCATATACTGTATACAAAGGGCATAAGCTGGAGGTTGTCAGGAAAATAGAAGATTTAGGATGAAACGTGGTGCTCTTGTTACAGGAACAAATGGTGTTACTAGTGCAGCCAAAAATGTTTCTTCTACAACCTCCCTTTACTGGAGCTAGACAAGAAATTTCCCTCATTGTGCCTGTGACCAGTTTGCTTGTGGGAAAGCAGGAAACTCAAAAGCAAACACTTCTTATTTTTAGAAGTCCCATAAGTTACTTTTTGTCCCGGGACAATCTGATCGATCACTGCCAAAACCACAAACTGGAGACCTAAGCTCAAAAGTGGTAGTGTCATGTGGTCAGTCAGTCTGGAGGTGCTCCACAGAGACTGTATCGGAACAGAGTGTGAGGGTGATGATGAATACAAACCACTCTCTGGTCAGTCTTCATTGACCTAGATGAATGTATTTATTCTGGGCCCAGGATACAGAGTATACACATGAGAAACATAAAGTTAGAATCTGCTTAACTATCCTTTTCTCCACCAGTTTCTTATTCCACAACTGCAGTGAACGAGGACAAGATCATTTATCTTTTCTCTGAATAACAAATTCCAATATGCACAGCTCAATATTAAGCCTATGTTCAGACACTGAGACATTATACTGTCCTATCAACCAGGGCCAATGCGATTGTCTGGGGAAATGGATGCAGTCTTTGGTTCAAATTTATATCACCATAGAAGCTGAGAACAAAATCTCCAGTGCAAGTTAGACTTTATACCTAACATCATTAATCAGGGTGTGAGGGGAAACTGTCAGAAATATTAAGTGACATGTCACAGGGCCAAGAAAAATGCATTTAGAAGGAATGATACAGGGTTCCTGCGGATCCTTAAAAATTCTTATATTTGATTTTAAAAATTGTGCAGCCACCTTGTGATAACAAAACATTTTTTTCTCCAGTTTGAAAGTTCTTTGTTTCAGTTTTGGATTCCCCTGTGTATCCATTTATATTTAGTAGTCAAAGAAAGGAGGAGGAAGTGTGTGTTTGTACATACTGTACTTTCTTTGGTTACGTGGGTAAATTTTAGGTTGAAATTATTGTGAGGACACGTTGGCAAGTCCTCAGTTTCTGACTCACCTTCACAGGGCGGTTTGAGAGTTGAGGCTTAGTTTTACGGTTAGGGTAAGAGTTAGTTTATTTACTGTAGTTATGATGGTTAAGGCTATGGTAAGGGTCTAGGATGGACTGAATACTGAGCTGGGCAAGACAGTGTTCACTTAATCTGCTCCAAATACCTGAAATATTCTACAAAAGAAAACAAACCAATGTCCTTGGTCTCATTGGCTAAGTTTGAAGGCACAGTAAACTCACTGGTGCTTGATAGTTTTCTTCCTGTTCCTGTTTTAGCTAACATTTTATCTTGATTAATATCTTATCTTGTTTTATTGTTGTGTTATTCAGTGAATATTATAATATTGTTGAATATTGTACTCTATCTGTTTATGCTATTTTGTAAACTTGTGTGCCACCATCCTGCCAGGGCTCCCTTGAGAAAGAGGTTTCAAACCTCAATGGGACTCAGCCTGGTAAAATAAAGGTTGAATTAAAATAAAAAATAATTAAAAAAAAATGTCCTAACAACCACTGCATGACCAGCATGTGTGTGTACATGTACACAGTAAACAAAAAACCATGGGATATGTTTTTTTCTACCAGAGCAAATCCCAGTGTTATCCCGTCATACTAATAATATGGCCCCCATCCATCATCACAGACAGCAACCAATTAGCACATTCCTGTTCCTCTTTCTTCTCATGTTCCTGGCTAACCTCTGAATAATTTTGGATCATTCATCAAAAAGCTCCAATGCATTCAAAATGCTCCATTTATGTGCATGCATACATGTAACTTTGTACATGAGTAACTGAAGGAATGTTGATTGTGGAGTGACTCTATTTTTCTCTGGGGCTTTGTGGAAACAGAGGCCACTGTTAATGTTACCGCAATCTAATTTACCTAGTGACAAGGGTCATATAGGTCAGTACACATGTGATCCATCTGACCAAAATCCAGATAAAGTTGAATCAGTACAATAAATCCTACAAATGCAAGACTAACATGAATAACTTGAATGAATGAATTGCTGATGTGGTCATTTTGTGGTGACAGGAATCTAATTATGAATGTAACAATTGAGTTAGCTGACAAATGTGTAAAATTGGTTCTTCCTGGGAAATTGATGCATTCGTGTAAATGATACATAAGTACTAATTTGCACATCTCTCAACAAAGGCCATTTCATTATTGATCTTGTACAAAAGGATTTGGTCAAGTAAAACGCACTCTTTACAGCAAATATAGTTCATAAATTTAAAGAACAGATAAAAGTAAACACCAAGGGACCTGATCTTCTACTCCCATATCATAGCAAACAGTGCTTCTTCCAGGCTTCACTGGAGAACATGCATTAGAGCAGACTAAAGGCATTGGACATCCAAAAATTAAAACAAAGTGACCCGTTTGATAAATGAAAAATGGGTTCCCCAGTCTCCCCATAGTGGATTCTGGTTTTACTGGTTTTATAAAACATACCTTGTGTGGGGTTGACTCAGATGCAGAACAGATACATTAACATTACTCATCAGTTTGTCTTTGTTATTGATGGATTGTTTTTGGTTGTAATTATTCAGATTGATTTACTGTATCACCATCCTTAGTCCATCCTGCATTAAAACCATCTCAGTAGCAGGGTTATGAAGCCAGGCTGGAACATGTGTTGACCCTTTCATACCAACAACTAACACAGGCTTATCCCAGGTCCCTGCTCTGGGGTATCACTTTGGCAGCCAGCCTGCTACTCCTGTGGTTTTCTGTATTCTTTTCCTGAGGCCACCCACAGTGCTGCAGCCTGACTGGCACTAGTCTGAGGAGGGTAGGATCACACCATCTGACCTTCTCCCTGTTTGGATTACATGGAAATCCCTTTTCACATCATCAAAGCTTCACCTCTGACACCTATACACACACTTAACAGACATGCTCCTAAATCTATGGTCAAGGAGGTATTTTATAAGGTTAAATATTTATTATTGAGGTTCATCTTCACCTATGATAAGTCTGTTGTTCGTATGTTCTGTCTTATCAGAGTCTGTTTAACTACTTGTTGATGACCGACTGGCGTGTTTTGCAGTAGTTTTAGTGCAGTGGAAAACTGAATGGAGGCCAAAGGTGACTCCTTGAATTATTGTGTGTTTGTATGAATGTGTGCATCTGTATACATTTTTTTCCTGAGCCAAACCTTACACAGCGTAGCCTGATGATCATGGTTCCCAAGTCTCTATGCACTAACAAACAGAGCTTAGAGGAGAGGGGGCTCTGATGAAAACAGCTCGAGATAGAAATGTATCTTTGCAATGATAGCCTGCCATTGAAATATCCCTACTACCAGGCCTGTTTCTCAGAATTCCCTGCAGGATCAGTGACAGTGAATTACTGTAGATAGTTCATAGTCTCAGTTCTGACTGCCAGTCTTATGCTCAGTCTGTTTCAGTCCTGCAATTACTGTCCTCCTAAACATTTGGCTTCTGTTTAAGCTCAGCACACAGTTGTCAAGCTTTGTTCTTATATAGATACATAAACTCTATAATTTCAGTTTTGGCATGTCAGTCTGTGTTGGAAAGCTGGGCTGTGGATTTGCATCATTGAAGATGTTTGTTTTCATATAACAACTATATGATACCTCACCCCTGATATATGTCTTGTTTTCTTTTTCCAGGACTCCATGAATGAAGCATGTGCTGAGGCGATTGGTGAAGAACACTACCGTTTAGAAGGTAGGCCCCCTGCTCTGCATCATTATCACCAAAGGTGGCATCAGCTCATTTCATTCATTTTGTTCCCCTTTTTAGTGAAATTAGCTGCTCTAACATTTGAGTTAAATGAACCTGAAAACATACAGGTATGTGTGTGGCTCTTATTAGCAGTCATTCATCCTTTTGCCCTATGTTCCACATCCATTCTTTAAGCCCCAACAGTGTACTGATGATGTCCCGTTTACCTTCCCTCCTGCCTCTCCACCTCCTCAGTCTCTCATCTACCCTTCCCTCTCAGTGGTGCCCCGCAAAGTGCCTCTGTTCCTCTATGTTTTTCCTGATGGATGTCATCCTGTATTAAGTTGCTCTGGGAGGAGAAAGTCTCTCCCTCCCTTTTAAAGTCAGGATTGGATGTGAGGTGCAGGCTGAACTGAACCAGAATTTGGAAGCATGGCTCTTTATTTCAGTTCTTCCTCATTTGTTAACAGATATAAGAGTGAGACAAGAGATAACATGACTGATAAATAGAGTTTGAAATGATTTTTAGTTATTGGGGTGAACCTGAGTTTGGGATAAACTTGTCCTCCTTCAAGACAGATGTGGCTAATTAGAGTATGCTGCGCTTTTCATTATCCATGATTAACAGAGATGAGACTAAATCATTTAGATTATTTAATCCACAAGTTTTGTTTCATACCAGCAGGACTTTCCAAGCTTTGCACTTTTGAAAATAATGCCAGAGTTTGGGCTCAGACTTTATGAGCAGAGGTACTGTAGACATATTCAAGATGTTTTCCTATGTCAGATGTTTGATTTGCAACTGCTGCTTTAATATTCTATAATGAAAACTATTTGTTATCTAAACATTTCTTTATTTTAGTTTGTAATAATTTATCTTCATGTTCACATAGCGGGTCAGTTTGTACATCTAAGGCCCAAATAATGACAGGTGTGGAGGATTTATTAACGTCCCCTGCATGAACTGCATTTAGTGCAGTGATTAGACCCACTGTCCATAGACCTGACAAAGTGGGATAAAGTAAAAATGAGAGAGAGCAGAGATGACAGGACAACCAGTGTACATGAAAGCCTTCTTTCTTCTGGGTTTAACGAATCTCTTCCAAAGAACATTTTGAGGGGGCTCAGTGATGAAAGTGGGTTTAGGACACTTAACATCAGTACCTCAAGCATGTAGGAAGAACAGCCTACATGGGCTTTTTATTATTTATTTATATATTAACCTGTTGTTAGGAGAAGAGTTTGCTAAAGAGACTCTTGTTCAGGAGCAGCTAGCTTCAGATTATATTATACTTATTGACATATTTAACCTACCCAGCACAATGTAGTAATATTGGTCACTAGCTAAATAAGACCCTGTGCAGTGTTTAAGAGTAAGTGAGTACTTCAATGGTGGCTTCAGAAGAGGAAGAAAAAAGTGACTTTCACCACACCGGTGCTGTGCATGCCAAATTCACAGTACCCAGCACTGAGCTGTCTGAATGTATGAGGGGGTCAGGCCTGGTTATGTGTTATATAGTAGCCTAGCTAAGCTAGATGTTATTGCTCACATGGTGAATAGCAGCTTTCCCAACCTGCAAGCTCTGTTGTTTGTGTTACGGGAACAGCCTTGGTATGGAGGGTGCCAGTCTCCACTGCCCTCGTCTTGCCCCTCAAATCTGATGTGTAGCCAATCCCCTGGTGACAAATTCTCTCATAAAGAACTGGCTTATGTCTGTGTTGATGGGGTCGGTGGAGGAGGGTGATAGCAGATTACTGTTACTCCTCTTGGCATTTCATTAGCTCTGAGATAAGCCTCACGCCACCATATTGAGCCTGCTACAGAACAGATTTGCCCCTGCACACAATGTTCCCTTTGAGCACCTCAAATGATCAAACAGCAGGACCCCAAATGCTGCTCCTCTCCAAAAAGTTAGTAAAAGCTCCCTGGGATGATGCCTTTCATTTTTGGCATTTTCCCCTACCCAGGGATGTGACAGGTCTGCTTTGATCTGCTTTGGATGTTTTGGAGGAAAGAAATTGGGCTGTTGTGTTTGCTCTGTTGGCGAGCAAACAAACAGTGTTTCAGATTTGACTTGGCTTAATTAATTAGTGATTCTGTTTTAGAGCCGGTCTGATCCTCTTCCAAAAGGTTTGAGAATGGAACTTCAAAGTGTGGCAGGAGGAGAGGGAAGCAGGGGACAGTGGCGAGAGAGGGGTATAGCCTGTGTGGATTTATGGGTGTGTGCGTGGCCTACAGAATTGTGATTGGATGAGGTGGGGCTGATGCTTACACGAAGCTAAATTATCAGAGGTCAGTTAAAGTCTGTAACAAGCTTCTGAAAAAATACACAAACATCTATGCAGCAAGAGGTAACAGTAACTTATAAAGGCTTGTATTGGAGCCGACATGTACACCTCCAAAATCTCAGTTGCACATGTATCTATGGTCTCACGTGACCAACAAATGCTGGATTTCAAAGCAGGATATCTATTAGCCTTAGATCTGGGTTAACATCCAATGCTGACAATGAAACATCGAACCAAAGAGTGACAGTTCTCTTCGTATTAGAGGAATATTAAGGTCTGACAGTTTACCTCCCCAAGTTATCCTCAGTTTGAATCCTGTCAAGTAAAATCTGTGGTGTAAAGTGTAGTACAGTAGCTCAGGATGTAGAGCGGGTCGTCTCTTCACTGAAGGATTAGCGGTTCGATTCCCGGCTTGTCTAGTCAACGTGTTGAAGTGTCCTTTAGCAAGACACTGAATCTTTAGCTGCTCCTGGTGATAACACCGGTGTGTGAGTGTTTGGGAATGTAAATGGCCAAGTAGTGTGAAAGCGCTTTGAGTGTGCTGCAAAGTATAGAAAAGTGCTATACAAGTATAAGGCTGACAGTGGTGCGGTGGGTAGAGCAGCTGTCTCCCAACCGGAAGGTTGAAGGTTTGAATCTCAGTGCCTGCAGTCCACATGTTGAAGTGTCCTTTAGCAAGACACTGAATCTTTAGCTGCTCCTGGTGATAACACCGGTGTGTGAGTGTTTGGGAATGTAAATGGCCAAGTAGTGTGAAAGCGCTTTGAGTGTGCTGCAAAGTATAGAAAAGTGCTATACAAGTATAAGGCTGACAGTGGTGCGGTGGGTAGAGCAGCTGTCTCCCAACCGGAAGGTTGAAGGTTTGAATCTCAGTGCCTGCAGTCCACATGTTGAAGTGTCCTTTAGCAAGACACTGAATCTTTAGCTGCTCCTGGTGATAACACCGGTGTGTGAGTGTTTGGGAATGTAAATGGCCAAGTAGTGTGAAAGCGCTTTGAGTGTGCTGCAAAGTATAGAAAAGTGCTATACAAGTATAAGGCTGACAGTGGTGCGGTGGGTAGAGCAGCTGTCTCCCAACCGGAAGGTTGAAGGTTTGAATCTCAGTGCCTGCAGTCCACATGTTGAAGTGTCCTTGGGCAGGACACTGAACACCCCAAGTTGCCTGCAATGGCAGCACATATGCGCGCAGCGGCCTGGGGCCCTCGGCTCTAAACAGAATTCTGTTGTACGTGTCAAAATTAAGCTTCTTCTTATAGTGAAATTATTATTGACTTCAATGAAATGTTGTCAGGCTCTACACAAATGGAAGTGACTGTTAGTTTAACTAGTAAAGTGCATATGACAGACTGTTACTCCCTCTGGACTGTCTCCACTCTGGTAATGTACAGTCAATTCATTCCAGACAGTGATGAGCTCTGCTGCAATGGACTCAGAGGCCTCCTATAGGCTGTTTGATGTTCACTTGCTGCTTCAGTTTTACCATTTCTATTCAAATGCCGCCTAATGTTCTGTCATGTTCTAAGCATGTCATGTCATTCAGTTTCATTTTGGAACAACCCCGCTCAATGTGAACCCACAGGGATATGCACACTTTAGCTAAGAGCTTGTATGCATGGCTGATGGAGGAAACTGTCATTGTAGAATTAGTGCTGCCACAGTTTCAGGAGGTTTACTTTTTTGGTTTGGATTGGCAGTTTGGATTCCAGCTCTGTTACTAATGTTTTGATTCTTTTCTTGGATCACTGCACTTTGATTTCTGCTATCTTTGAGTATTATCACAAATACTGTAAATACACCCTACAAGTACAGTTTAACTGAATTGCTAGTTTGGATTTGCAACTTGCAGTATTTAAAATTGGTGATTCTGTTTGCATTTCTTTTGCTAAGGGCAACAATGCCTCTGCTGCCTTATGTTATTAATAAATTTGTTAAGATTAACATAAAAATAAAATTTAATTAAGACAGACCAGTGAAGAGTTAGGCTGTGTAGATTTATTTCCAACCAAGAGCACAAGAATGTGTGACACATCTTAATTGCCCCTGCCAAACTTGGAAGTGGGAGCTTACAAAGAATACTTGCGACATATCCTCAGGTTACGACTGCACCCAACGCCTCCATCTTCAGGCTCTCACTTTTATCTTTGTGTGTGTGTGTATCTGTGTGTGGATGCAGTGGCTTTACCGCCGGAGAAGACAGACAGCTGCTGTGTGGAGGAGAAGATGCAGGAGAGAGACAGCCAATCCCCCACAGGGCAGCAGAAACAGCTCCAGTTTGAAGTGAGTGTCAACACCAAATAGGACATTTATTACCCCCCTCTGGATGAAACTAGGGCAATGGCAGGACACACACACAAATACACACTTACATACACACTGGATAATATTGATAATTCTGTGCTGTTTCAGGAGTTGGAGTGTGCCGTGTCTGTGGAGGAAGATAACAGGCAGGAGTGGACCTTCACACTCTATGACTTTGACAACAATGGCAAAGTTACCAGAGAGGTAATAATCATCTGCTCCAAACCTTTGACAAATTAATACAAAATGTACAAGAAATACTTGTGGTGGTATCACCGCACCCAAAAAGAAAGTGAGTTATGAGCATCTAACCCAGTCTCACTGCTAAGAACAACATCCAGCAGTGTCTGTGCATTTCCGCTGCTGCGAGGTACCTTGTGGCTTGTGTCTGCTTGGTAAAAATTTAAGAGAACATTAAGAAAGACCCGTGATGTTTGAGAACAACTTGAAACAGCGCAGAGAGACTGGAGCTGTCCTCTGTGCAGTTGGCTGTGCAGTTTCTCTGGCATTGCCTGTGGCTCCACAGCTCATGAGACGGGAGGCGGCAGCAAGGAGGGGGAAAGAAAAGTGTTCTTCTCCAATTCATTTTTTTATTCTTCCACTCAAGTAACAAAGAGGCAGAAACCAAAATAGCACAGGAAGCTTTTATTTAATTTCATTTTATTTATTTATTTTTTATAGTTCATCTGTGTCTGAAACCAGTATGTGGAACTGGTCCCAGAAGGATTCATAATAGTCCTTTTTCTTATGAGTCACAGTGGTATAGTGGGTCCCATTCATGCTGCTGGAGTCTTTGTGTGACACTGGCTTAATTCTCAGCAGCTTTGTTAAAGGAACTTTTGCTGTTAAATGAGCTTTTAATGGTGAAGCTGTGTTACCTTCTAAAGTAAACACCGATGAGACTTGAATTACTGGATGAATTAGTTCATTTGACATCCATACCAGGTGAAAATTCCCAGTTTTTTTCAAATAAATGCACAAAAGAGCATGTATACATAAACAGGCATTCAAATGCAAGGCACCTCTGTCCAGGAAGACAGAAGCATGCTAACAAGTACTTTCATGTACTTTCAGTCCCCAGCAGGGACTGTTCATGCCCCTACCCTCTGGCCGGAGGTTCAGAATTGTGAAATGCGGGATCTCTAGGCTGAAAAACTCTTTCTTTCCCTCTGCCATCAGACTCCTAAACAGCTGAGGAGTTTATTACCAGGAAATACGTCATGTACTGTCGACCTGTACTGTTTACGTTCTCAGTTTGCACATGCACATTCACTGTTGACTACTGCACATACATGTAGCATATATTCTCTTATTATATTGTTATATATGTTTATTATATTTCTTCATTTGCTGCTTTAAAGTGCCTTAGATTTTGTGTTACTTATTTATCTACGTTATATTTCATTTGTATTGCGTGCTGTCAGTATGTTGAGTCAGGGTTGCGTCAGGAAGGGCATCCGGCGTAAAAACACGTGCCAAATGTCAACATGCGAGTTGTCAATGTGACAATTCGCTGTGGTGACCCCTAAACGGGAAAAGCTGAAAGTGACTTTCTATTGTGTGGCATTCATGTGGATGGCAAAGTAAGAATTTCATTGTAGAGGGAAACGCGTTTCTATACTGTACTTATGACAATAAACACTTTGACTTTGACTTGACTGAAGTGAAGATTATATTTATTTTTGTCTTTAAAGAATTGGTCCTGGCATTGACACTAGTTTTCCCCTATAATTGTCTTTATTTCTCTGTGCTCCCTCCTTTTGCTTGGGTTTTATTGACCTGAGGCAGAGTCAGTAGCTACATGAAAGTACTTGTTAGCATGCTTCTGTCTTCCTGGACAGAGGTGCCTTGCATTTGAATGCCTGTTTATGTATACATGCTCTTTTGTGCATTTATTTGAAAAAACTACTTGAATGTTGGTCCCTATGCAAATGTAATTTCAGTCATTTAAGAGATGTTGAGGAATTGAACTGAGAAAGTGTAGAGTTGACAGCTGTAGCACGACTCATATCAGGCCTGACATCTCAGTCAGCCTCTTCTGCTACCACCAAGTTGTTTCTTCTCATGAATTCATAACTTGTTTTTACACCCTGTCTGTTCATTTCACTTTGAAAGCTGAACTAAAACAACTGACATCAGTGGGTTTCTTTGTTTACTGTTGTCTGAATGACTTCTTCCTAGCTAGCATGAAGTTTATGATACATGCACGAAGCTACAGAATATTGAATTCAAAGTGTAGTAATAAGAACAGTCTACTTGTTCTTTTCTTTTTTTATTAATGTATTTTTTTGTAAAATCTGTACTGAAAACTTCCTTTGCACCATGTTACAAAGAATCTGTGAGTCTTTTGTTATATTTTTTGATTAAGTGATAAATGGAAGCTGTAGATTATAACACATTCCTATAACATCTCTCCTGCAGGATATCACCAGCTTGCTCCACACCATCTATGAGGTCGTGGAGGCCTCTGTCAACCATTCTCCTGGCAGCAGCAAGACACTGCGGGTCAAGCTCTCTGTGGCTCCTGACTCCAGCCAGCGGTGGAGTAGTTGTACGCAGGGTGTGGCAGGTAAAGCTCACATGAACACAGTGGAAGGGGGCAGAGGAGAAGAGAGGGCATTTTGGGGTTCCCCTGTGTGTTTCCTGCTGTCAGCGCAGCCAGAGATATGTTTGTTGTCATGCAGAAAGGCGGCTGCTTCAGGCCTGTCAGAGCTTTGTTCCTTACAGTCTCGGCATCGCTCCATCTCTCCCACTCAATGGGGTTCATTTTTAATGATGGGGGGAGTGACAGAGCCAAGAGAGGTCCCCCCCCTCCATCAGCGAATTCAAATGCTCTGAAAGAAACCTTAAGAGATGTGCTGAGTCCTTTTGATAACCACAGCCATTTTTCTTTTCTCCAAAGTTCCCTGTTCCCCTTCTCCTCCCCCTCCCCTTCCTCCCCTCCTCTCTCAGACCTGCCAGGAAAATATAGCTACGCTCAGCTTAACTTTTCTCACTGACGACTTGGTAAACAAGTAGGCAGGGAAAATATCTCAAAAAGTATATATTCCTGTGTGTTTGCATCCTATTGTTTCAGCTATAAATATCCAACAAACGATTCAAACAGAGCGAGCTTGGAAAATATCGCTAGTTGCCTTCATGCTAATTTCAGACTGCATCAGATCTATCTTAATAAACTGTTTATGAAGTCATCATGTTTATTATTTCATTTTATGCCTTATAAGGGGCTGGGTGTTGAAAATAGAATAAATGAAGCATTGTTGTTTTTCTTTTTTAAATAGATCTTCAAAGTTAAATGTCAAAACAAAGGTTGCTTTATTCTAAGCCTTGTGTGAATGTTGTTGTGAGTGTGTGGCTGTGTGTGTGGCTACTCTGTGTAGCTCTCTTTGATAGCAACCTCCTGTCTTTCATACATGCACAGACACGTCCCACCCCAGGGAGAAAAATGACAAGTGCGTAGAAGACCCCAAGGGTGTGGACAAGAAGACACGGGCGCTCCTAAGGTAAACCCACCTCTTCATTATGCTTTATTTGATATTGTTTAAGCTTTGGTGTCCACAAGAAGAAGAATATGAAGTTTGTTCTTTCTATAGTTCTGAAAATGAAAACCAGAATACTTTCATAAAAAGTTGCAAGGGGCAGTGGGTGTTGAGGATTCATGTATCTGCAACATTTCTCAACTTTTAAATTAGTTTTGTCCAAATTTACCTTTACTGTACTAAGGAGGAGCTCACCAGTGGAGGGGAGCCCATTTACTGCACTGTTCAGTTACGTCCAGTTGAGGTTTGGACCTGTGATTTTACAGTCACAATCTCACATCTTTAACAGTTACTCCCTGCTACTGCCTGATTATAAGGAGCACTTGTGCTACTTACTCCAAACACTACACACTGAACCTCACTGGCCTAAACTGCTACCTAATGAGAGGTGCCGCTTGTGTCCACAGGCGCCACCACAGTGACCACCACACCCAGCCAGGCTGCCAGCACCACTGTGTGGATGAGAACCTGGAACGCAGGAACCACTACTTGGACCTGGCAGGCATTGAAAACTACACATCCCGCTTCGGAGCCGGTGAGTGGATCATAGCCAGGGGTGTATAAGGGGAGAGGGGAGGGAAAAACACAGACTGTGGCGCTTTGAAGCTGCATCCAGGGGCCTTCATTACTGCGGCACCTGCTTGGAGCCATTAGGTGGAACTACCAGCCCACTGAACTCCTCGCCAGTACAAACATCTGGGCTCAGGCAAGCACAATACATCAAGTGTTCAAGGATAAAGCCCATCAACAGGACAGGCTGTTATGAAGTGAAATATCGGATCTAATAAGCAGCAGCCTTGATCTGAGGGTCAGTGATGACATGGGATTATTGAAATGTTGCTTCTGTTAGGAAAGTGCTAACAGAGATCTGCTTTGTGTCACACTGTATCAGGGTTATCTGCCAGAAGAAAGAACCTGAAGTGAAGTTGGGTCTTCATTAGGACCTGTTGGCACATTAATTTGCACATAATGGGTTTTTCTTCCCTTTTCTGATGAGTTTTGAGTGCACTTGTAATGACATATGACAGTGATCACTCCTGTGATTGAACTGTTGTTGCCTCTGCAACCTTGAAGCTTGTCATTGATGATGTTTTCTGAGTTAATACCAATGTCTTCTTTCCATCACAGCTCCCACTGCAGAGCCGACAAAGGCAGAGCCTCAGACCCGGTCATCCAACCAGACTCGTTCTCGCTCCCATGAACCAGAAAATGGCCACTCCCACTCCCGCCACCATCGCTTGCAGACTGTTGTGGACCCTGTTGCTCCAGATAGCCTACATCCTGCCCGGCTTCGGGGCCAAGACTCAGGGAAACATGCCCTCCGTTCTCCCAAGAGCCACAGCCATACAACTCCTGCACAGATCAGTAGCAGGGTGATAAGGAGCCGGAGTATACCCCCTCCCCCAGCCCTACCTAGCCAGACACCCCCTCACCAGTCTGCAGCCCCCTACCGCAAGCACAAGCAGCGGTTCAAGGAAAGTCAAGGCTACCGTGCCTTTGGCTCGCTGGCAGCTTCAGGACCAGTGGTGGAGAAGGAGCAGGTGAGGGACCTGCCCAGCCTGCTGCTCTGTGAGGGGGGGCTGGCACAGGTGGTGCAGCGGCATGAGCATCACCACCATCATGAACACCATCACCACTACCATCACTTTTATCAGTCCTGAATTTCCTCACACAACTCAGCCCCCTTACAGCCCCACAAAACCCAGCCAGGCCTGCAGACTGCAGTGAGCTTCCTTCTCGAGCATTGCGCTGCTAGGCCTGCAGTGGCTTTGTAGAGGACACAGGACACAGGGAGGAGAAGAGGACTGTTGGAGGGGGCAGTCTGGTGCTGAGATGCTATTAATCAGTGTTATTATTGGTCTGACATACAGAAGTTCGGGTACGCAGCAGGACAGTGATTTGGGGCCACAGCATGGCCAGGACTGAGGAGCACAGCTGGGGCTACAAGGGGAATCGCTGACAAGTTCCTCCTCTCCGCGCTGTGTTCTATTACCTTATTAACGCCATGGTTCCGACCCAGCACCACATCGCTTTCAGACCACTAAGCTAAATGGGTTATAAGGAACAGGAGGGAGCAGAGGAAGAAAGACTGTGATGTAAAGATAAAAACATATGAAGGGATATATGAGAACAGAACAGAGAGTGTGTGTATAAAACCTTGTGTGAATGTGTGGGTGTACAAAGTCTGTGTGTGTGAGTGTCACAACACTGGTGTCTCTTGCAAACCACTTTAAGTGCACTCATGGGTGTGTGAGTATTTAAAGCAGACTGTTGGGCAGGTTTCTGAGGATGAAAATGAAGATTGTGATCTAAGTACGCAGTACCCCTAAAGCAAAATGGGAAGGAAAATGTTGAAATGATAAGTACAAAAGAACAGAGATCCCAAATCCACTGCTACCTCTAATTTTATCTTAATTGTTGTAATGGTGACTTTGACTAAGCATTCAGAGGTTATTTTCTAATTACTCAGAAACTTTTTGAAAGAGGACAAATCCTAACACAATCCACAGTAATGAAGTGTCAACAAGCTCCGTACTTTTATTAACTAACATTTGCTGTACATAAGGTATGTATTGCTATAAGCTTTATTGATAATGTGATATCTTTGTATTCAACAGTCTGAAGCTTTTTTGTTTTCCTTCACAACTACACATAACAAGACCACTAGAATATGTTCAACTGTGTTCCTCAGTCAGTCTCACACACTCCCTCTTTTTCTTGTTTTTGCTTTCTCACCATGTGATTAGATATGTGACTGTGATCTGGTAATTACAGTTGAATGACAAAGATCCTAGCTCAGAACAGTGCTTCACCTCACATCAAATACAAATATTCTGTAGAAAATTAAAACAACAAAACAGTGGCTGTAGTTTGAATACATCTCAAGGCAAATTAATGAAGTTTAGTTAATTTAAGCTTAGCTGTACTTTAATGGCTGTTCATGTTCACCATTATTTTGTGGGCTCTGGATAAAGTTTAAAAAGATCTTCATCTTTCACCCTTTTAAATACACAAGCTATAAAGTTTTTAAGTTCCTGGACAACATCAGTGTTTGTACCATAAACTCGTTTCTCTTATTAGAATGTCCAGCAGTTGAATCACGTGCCCTCAATCCCACTTATAAACAAAACTAGAGATGGTGTGAACTCGATATCAGTTCTGGATCAGGCCTTTTGCCATATTTTGCACAAGTTGAAGCCCCTTTACATAAAACCAGTTAGAGGTTAGTGTATTTATTTATCAGTATGAAGTTTGACCTTTTAAAGGGGGTTTTTAACAGTTATTTATGCAGATAACTATTTGTGCTGAGCATGTGTGTAGTTTTTCCACCATGCCCCTGCTTTACATCCAAGCAGTTGCCCAGGTGGTTTTCTGACTTTACGGCTAGCGCTTTTTCATAGCTAATAGCAGCTCTGTTGTCCAGCCACTTGGCCTGGCCCGGGGTCACACGGCTGCTCCCTCTGTTTCCATGGCATCTTCCTGTCCCCCCAGCTGTCAGCAGGTCTGTCACCGTGTTGCCATGTGGACTTAGGGCTCAGCCAACAAGGCACTGTTTGTGGTGTTGCAGGGCAAGGGATCTTTCAGCTGTTTCATTCCTCTGTTGCTGGATAACACTAGGCCCGGCTTACGGTCTCCACTAGACCCCATAACTCAACACTGCTGCTCTCCTGCCAGGGACTCTGTTCATCCTATCCCATGATACTCCCTTGGCACTGCCATAAATATGCAGATGGCACCAACATGCAAACATTTGCTCTCTAATTTTTACCTGTGTCACATCTGATCTGAAGTAAAGTGAGAGCTGCAGGTTAACAGTTGTTTCTACTGACATTCTTGGTTCACACACATCCAGCCTGTCTGTTTCATGCTAACAGAGGCAGGTGTCTGACCTTTGAAACAATGAGAGTGCCTTGCTGTAAGCCAGCCTTATACAGTACATCCAGATGCGAGGTGACTGGGGTAAAGCAGATGCCATTGTCATTAGCATGCTTCATGCCCACACTGTCCCCTACGTTTGATTGTGTTAGTCTGTCATAAGTGTGTTTGTGAAGAACAAGAATTCAGTGAATGCCAGTCTTGTTTTCAGCCCTGTGGTGTCCTTTCACAGCGGCAGGTCATCTTTTAGTTTGAGATACCAGTCAGACGGGTCATCTCATGGGACCCAGTGGTGACAACAGTGTCATTCCCAGAGGGGGATCACATCTGTTCTTCATACCACAACTGCCTCACCTCACAAAGCTTTCCCTGGAAAAGGCTTTGCTTCTGGACCACTTGTAACACTGTAACGTCTTTGTCAGAGCTTTCACCTCACCAGAAACGGCGCTGATACCACTCACCAAATTTAAGTAGTGTGGAAATGGTTGTTTGATTGGGTTAACAGACAGCAAGCAGGTGACTGTCGGTCCTGCAGGGTGGTCTGACGACATGGTTAGCGAGAGCTTCAGAGGGAATTTGGCTGAAAGGCTCGGTCAAACCCACAGCCAACATGTGACAGTTTTACTAAACACATGTAACTCCTTTTATTTAAAATGTCCTCCTTCACTTTTCTAGAATTCACAGTAGAAACTACAGACATACTGTACTTTCACAGCTTTGACTACTGAGCACCTGGGGATCATATGCATTGCTCAATGACACCACAACAGTATTTGTTAAAGGTTGAGCAAAAAGTAATTTGCTTTGTTTTGTCACACAAACTTTATTCAGGGGAAAAACTTCCTAAAGCCAAGTGTTCTCAACACATTGTTTTCTAACCTACCATTGTCACTGTCCCTCTCCTGTCTTTTATGATACTGTGGCAATACACTGTGTCACTGTGTCCACCTAGTGTTATGACTTTTTGTCAGCAGCCAAGTTGTCAGTTATCCCCTAAATCTATCAGAATTTGTTATTAGTTAGGTTATTATGTGAGAATGGTTGTAACTTTTTAATTCAAATTATGAATGCCTCTTGTGGGACAACAACAAAAACTCAAGTTGCATCATACAAACTGCTCCAGATCCACATCTTCTGTCCTATATAGTACTGTCAGTATCCAGAGTCACTTCTCTGTTAATACAGTAGGTACTGCATCACTGGTATCTGTCTATTAACATTTTTTAATTTGATGTATATAGTGAACTACAGAAAGGTTAAATCAACATAGTGTAGACAGAATATATTACTTATTTATAATTAAATTACTGCCAAAGTATCTTACTTGCCTACTGTCAGTTAGTACTCCTAGAACAATATCCGACACGTCAGTCCTACTTAGCAGGGAGGAATCATTTTCTGTCTCCGACACAAGCTGTTTCTCCCTTGACACACGCAGATACACTTTTAATTGGTGTTTGTGGTAAAAGAAAATTGTTTGGCACTAGCAGTTTTTCCCCTTTCTCCTCCCTCTTAATGTTTTTTTCATGATTTGTTTAGTTTATATAGATTGTATTTGATTAATTGACTTATTTATTTGATAGCAGATCTGTGCCAAGGGAAACTACAATTAAAAGTATGAACATGTTCCTTATAAACAGACTTCTGGAGTCTTTTTTAAAATTTATCTGTCACTAGTAGCATGCAGGTTTTTACAGTTGTGTGTATGGACAATAAGAACATACTGTATTACTTCTGCCCCTTAAAAGACACCGGTGAAGGACATTAGCAGCATAACATTTGTATTTTGTGGCACTCTACTGCTATGCAGAGCTTTCATTTTGGGAAAGAAATACATTCATTTCTCTCACCTTGTTTCAAGGCAACCAGCTGAGACGTCATAGGTTACTGTGCCCAGCCAAGAAATAGCTCAGTACATAAACCCTCATAAAACCATATATTCTTTTAAGCTAACAAATTAGATATCATGATAATTTGCAGATTTTTTTACTGAGCCAGAGCCAGTCTGACTGATTCACCTGCTCCTTTAGGCTAAGCTAAACTAGCTACTGTAACTGCTGGTGATAGCTCCATATATACCATATGGTACTGAACTTTTCAACTGACTCTGGGCAGGAAACAAATGAGTGGATTTCCCAAAATGTCACTCTGTTCCTTTCAGGTACTAGAAACTGCAGTCAGACAACCAAGAATGTTGTCACATCAACCAAACCTCTTCTAGGCTAATCAGTCTTCTTCACTCATCATCATTCACAGGCCATTAAACATCAAACTCTTAGACATGTATATGCGGGAACCACCTCTGTGGCATTGTTAGGGGTCTTATCCTTTTAAAGGCAGTATGTAGAAATTTCATCAGCTCATGGAGTCTCTCAGTAGATGACCTTTACCTGATCTCTGTGAAAAGTTGAACTAAGCTGATAAGAACAGCTGCAGTATTTTCATGACCTTAGTATTTCAGTTTGTTGATGCTTTCATTACACTTTCTAATTTTAATTTGTTACAAAAGATGAGCTATACGGGGGTTAACAGGTCTTCACTCTGTTGCATAGCTAATATATAATAAAACACAAAAAACAAAACAGTGAATCCCCATCTCACATAGCCTGAGCATGTTTGCACAGGCCGGGCCCCAGAGTGTAGTTGTGAGGTGACAGTGCCATCCACTGAGCAAATATGCCACTGATGGTCATATGGGGCCTTTAGAATCAAAACAAAGAGACAGCAAATTTAGGTGAAAGGGGCCTGTACAGTTTGGGACATGTTTACTGCATTGCTATTCTTTTATAAAACCAGACCATATTATAATTTCTGTTATGGAAAATTACTGGAAATGATCTCTCTCCAATGCTGATTAAGTTTCTCATTCATTTTGAATTTTTGTGAGGTTTCTTCTCTTTTTACACACTTTTTTCAATTCTTTAATTTCCAAGAAGTAACCTGGGCTGATATGAAGGTTATGGATAAATGTGTGTGTAGTGAATTACGGTTCCTCTCCACTGCATTTCATCTGTGGTGTCACAGAGGGCTCCCAGATCTGGCTGACCACAGCTGCTCACCACGCCACACTCTCTACACGCACACACTTTCATCTGCAGCTTAGCAGCTTATCTTTGGTGAGTGTACCCACTGAGAGGCTGCCAATGGCAATGTGATATGCTTTCCTGTCACGAAATCAGCTATTTGTGTAAGCAAGGCAGTGTAACCAGCAGAACTTTTACCATCCTTACAACACATCTTACCAGGTTATTACTACTAATACTTTACACATCTCAACTATTAAAAGAATTACCCATCTAATTCAGGAGTGCAAAGTATTTGATTATGATTATAATTACATATTTATTCTCCTTGAAGATTATAGCAAAATATTAAAAACATATAGTCTGTAATCTAGAAATTCCAGCACACACAAAGTGGTGTCTAGATTATCTTAATTTGCTGTATTTGTAGGTGTACGTTATTCCAAAGTTGTGAGCAATGCATTTGGCACTGTAGCTTCCTAAGGCTCGCTCATTCCATGATCTGCAGCAGATGTGCCTTTTTTAAAGATTATAATGGTTCTCAATGGTCAGAGGATGGCTGCAAGTCACATGACACATATTTTATCAGACACAATGTAAAACTTCTTGTGTGTGGGACTTTATGAATTCCTCAGCAAATATCCTTGCTGCAGTTTAACATCCTGGTATACAGCATGTATGAGCACGCTGTGCACAGGGTTTTCATCTGTCAATATACTACTGGAATCTTACTCTATACAGTACATAGTTACTTTAATACTTACATAATTTTTTGTGAAACTAATCTCTTAATTTTTACTAATGTTTGCACATT